GTAGGTAGGCTATTCCATAGTTAGACAAAGGAAAACAACAAAAGGGGAAGAAAGAACCACGAAATGATGACAATCCTTCCTCTTTGTTGCTTGAGACACCCTTGAGATGAAGAAATCTTCAATTCTCTAGCTAGGAACAAGCCCAAAGCTCATTCTTCCTCCTTTGATTTGCACTTTCTCACTCTAGAGAAAACCCTAACCTCTCACTAGAATCCTCTTTATTCTGAAAATGAAAACCTAACCTAAAAATGAAGCTCCCCTTTCTCCTTCAGCTCCCCTCTCCTTTATACCCAGATGAAGCTCAGGTCAAGGTCTTAGAGCTGAATTCAAGGACGCATTGATCAGTTCACGGTCTTAGTTCAAGGACGCGTTGATCAGTTCATGGTCTTAGTTTATGGCTGCGTTGATCAGTTCACGGTCTTAGACCTCAGTTCACGGCAGTGAACATTGAAACGCGTCCATAAACTCAGTGTTGAGACCAAAACGCACCGCTTCACATCCACGGTAAACGGTTTGTGCTTAGAGTTCACGGTCTTAGCGACCGTGAACTCACTCGGCGTCAATAACCTTTGGAATCGCCCTGGACGCTTCGCAGTTCACAGATTTTAGCTCTAGTTCACGGTCCTGTAAGACCGTGAACTCCAATAGCAGACCTTGAACACATGTTGTTTCCTCCCTTTTGCTCTTTTTCTTCCAACTTTCGACTCTGGGGTTGGTTTCACTTGTTAGAATCTGAAACACACTGAAAGACACGAAACCTAGCGTAAAATCACCCCTTTTTGGAGCTCAATTGCAACAAACGTCAAAGAGAAACGAGGATAAAAAGTGTACAATTAGGCCCAAATCAGGGAATGATGCTCGGGGAAGGTCTCATTTATTATTACTTAATTTAAATTTTTTCTAAGGTAAAAAAGTTATTATTTATTTCATGTGGCATTGAATATCTAACAAATAAGTTTATGTGGCATGTGTAATTTTTTTAAGGGTTTGTTAACTTTAATGGAAAGTAGTTATTATTTTGTAACTCTCTTAAAGGTTTGACTAATCTTTTAAAGTGGAAGAAAGTTTTGACTAAAAGTTAGAATTATCCAAAAATCAAACTAACTCACTTGCGCTTGAGAGTTGTAATTTTGGTACCGATATTTGGTAATATACCTGTCTAATTTGTTATTTTTTGTTTTATAACCTATAACTTAAAGGAGTGGGGAAAATTTTTCACTACGGTTTTCGCTTAGATGAATCGTATGTCCCAATTCATACATAAAAAAAATCGGTTTTGACACATTCCTTTATCAAGATAATACTTTTGTATCACTTTCTACAATTACTATTTTGCAAGTTATGTAGAAGAACTCCATTATTATTCATTGAGTCAATTACATTTGAAATGGACAATTCACATATCAAGGACTGATATGATGAGGAAGATCTCTGAAGAACTAGAATGGAATTTGTGAACTCTCTCTACATTTGGAAACTCACTCTCTTTCTCTACATTAGTCGAAACAAATTCAGGCTGTCGGTTTCTAGTCCTCCGGGAAAGCTGTATATATGTCATGAACAGTCTGCAAAAAGTCCATGAAACCGTTCACTAGGGCCCAAAAGGGTTTAAACCACACTGTTGGCATATCAGTTCCAAACACCCTGCTGAGATCTGGAGAAAGCATCCCCAGCCCAAGCCCAGGCCTAGACCTGGTGAAACCGGATCAAGAAGGCGGTACAGGAAGACCTGTTTGACTTTGACTCGCACTCCAGCTCCTGCGACCATGCGGGCGACGATGCCGTTCCAGAAGAGACGAGCATTGGTTGGATTAGCTTCCGCATCCGATTCACCGCCGAACGTTGGCCAGCCCGTTTCCGCCACGACGATCGGAAGCTTGTCAAAGCCTGAAACAGTGAGCACATCTTGGACTCCGTGGACCATTAGATCAAAGAGCGATTCGTAACGCTGGGCGAGAGGATGCTCCGGATCGAAGGAATGCGCCTCGTTATTCTGGAAGATGGCAAATCTCAACGGATATCGATAGGCTTTGAAATAGCCGTAGACATCTTCACAAGCAGTACCGAACTCCTTTCGCTCAAGAAATAGAGGAGCTGCGAAAGGATCGGCAGAGGATGGACGAGATCGCCGAAACCTAGTGTGACTGAGAGAGAGGCTTGAACATTGAGGATTCGAAGAGCTTGCTCGACGTTATGTAGAGCAGGCAACACCGCCGGGAACAGAGAGACCGTCGGTTCGTCGCCAACAGAGATGGTGGAGACGGAGTGTTTGGCTGAAAGGATAGGTCGTAGGATCTCCACCGCAACTGATGAGTTGGCGGCCAACCTCGATAGAAGGCGATTCGGAAGAATCGCGAGAACAGTGATCTTACGATCGGCGAACTCCTCAAGTAGGCGTGGGCGGAGGTCGTCCAAGTGCAGCCTCACTGCTCCAAACTCGAGCCTCTGCACAGCAGCTCCGATTACTGCCGGAGGTGGAACCAATGGAGGCATCAGCGGAGGAAAGGAGGCGGTGGTTGACGATTCGTAAGCCACGCCGAGACTAGGCCGCACCTCTTGGAACTGGAGGTAATCGACGGTCAATGTAGCCACGACGCCAAGAATGAAGCCGACGAGGAAGTGCAACTTGTACATGGTGGAAGTTTGATTAAGGAAGGAGTTCAAGAATGGCGGTCTTGAGGAAGAGGGAGAGGGAGGAAGGAGGATGGAGTTGATCCAATCACATTTTGTTTGGGAGTATGGAAGAAGCTTCGGTGAGGAAATGGAGTTCAAGAAGTGGTGTTTTTTGAGGGAGGGCGAGAGGAGGAGGAGGAGAAGGAGGAGGGAGAGATCAAATGATTTGTGTTTGGGAGGGAATGAGGAAGTTGGGGTTTATTTTATACTGTCGGCCAAGAATCTCCTAGAACCTATCTAGTTTCTACTGTCAACGGTGGAACTAAGTGGTCCGTCCTTCCAATTATGTTGTTATGAAGCAGGACTGAGCTACGTCTCTAGCAGGTCTTCCAATCATATTAGTGTCAGAACTTCCTTTTGTTATCTTTAGATACATTGCTTATATATTAGATTCCTATAACTCACCTGTGATTTGTGCAGAGGACTGATGGGGATTTGAGTCCATGCTCTCTTGGTGAGCTGCGAATGGTCTCTCAAAACTCATAATCAGCAACAGCAGGTATCATAAGTTTTTTTCTTCTACTTATTCAATCCAGTAAATCATTAACTGGATTGATTATGTGGTGTAGTGGTTTTGGAATATTGTCCCTATTTGAATAATTCTTCTGCCACAAAGGACTGCTTTTGCTACAGCACTTCATAGTTCTTACTTCTTACTGGTCTGTCGTTTGGTAATGTCAGATTTCTGGATACTGTGAATTGCTTTTTTCAGGTTGGGAAACAGGTTGAACCAGAGGCTCTGCGGGTCTAGAGTATTGCAACTCAAAGCTGCTTCATGAAATGGATGTTCTAGTACGGTAACTTTCTATTACAGGTATGTTGTCAATAATAAGGGAATCAAAGGGCAAAGAGAGTTATTATACGTGTGTGTGTGTGTGTTTTGCTGTCTGATGAGGCTAATGCACACCTTAACCTTGAAGAGAAATGGTCAGTGCTGTCCATGCAGGCAACGAAGTAGAGATTCTGACAACTCTATAGATTCCTTTGCGGTTTGAGATGTTTGTTTTGTTTTTAGTCTTATGAGTTCATGAAGTACAGTGGGGAAAATCACTTCCATTCTTCTATCTGCACTTTGCAGGCCTAATGTTGATGTCTAATCCTGTGCAGATTCATGGCTTACTAGGATGAGATACATGCTGCCTGGCGCCATCGATCAATCCTATCCTGCCAGGTTGGTAAACTAAAAGCCACTCTTCTACTTTCCATTTTCAACTACAAGATTTTATAGATTATTATTGTTCTTTAATAGTCCTTGGAGAGAAAAGTGGGGCTGGTCTTGCGATTGATCATTAGGGATTATTGTGTCTTTTCGTTTGCCTATCTGCTATTGGCTGCAACTGGACCATCTGGGCTTAATCGCAGCGATGAAGTTGGCTTTCTTGCTGCTGCAAGTTGTTTGTGAACTTAGGAGGAGACATATATTAGTTGTTCTGACAGAGGATGGAAGAAACCTAGGGATTGTTGTCTAACTTGGGAGTTTGGTAGACAATGCTCCTTTTACCTACTATCTTTCCATACGCTGTTAAAACCTAGAAATGAGTTCCAATCCTTTTGGGAATCATTTCGGGTGCTTGCTATAGGATGTTTCTCACCTTAGAAATCAAATCTACAGGAGTCATTCTCTCGGATCTGCAACTGTTGCCGTAAAAATGGCTTCTCCAGCAAGCATGATTTATATGGAGATGATCATCACAACTGGAGTATATGGTTGGGAAGTTCACCGCATGAAGGATTTTAGCATACATCCTGCGGATATAAACAATCCTATGGGATTGCAAGAGGAAGACTATAGCATAGAAAAGTGACAAGAAAGGTTCATTTGGATCGATGGTTTGGTTGAGGAATGGAACTTCTGAATCTTAGTAGAGCCTGCTGCATCCGCAATGTTGCTGCATTGCTAGGTGGTTTGTCTCTTTCTTTCTTTTTGCAATTAGCTTTAATAAAGAATTTATACCACTAGAGTTGGGAGATGGAACTGATTAGAAATCTGTGTTTCTGTACAGGTTCATTGTGTATGGGCAGCAACAGAAGCTTATTCAGCCCCTTCCATTGTTCTAACATCTCACTGGAATAATGGTAGCTTGCATGTTTTTGATGATTTTAGAGAAGTCTATTCATGGTTGAGCCACAATACTCTGACGTGGATCATAAAGTATGATTACTCTCTTCTCTCTTTCCTTCCGTTTATTTGCAGACATACTGGTTTCAAAATGTCACTTCATTGTTGAAACTCGCGAGGGCTTGTGACAGCATAAGATATATCAGCTAAAAATTTTGTGGAAAATTAGGATGTTTACATTGTCTTCTGAATGGTTGACCTGATGACACTTGATTCAGATGTAAATAACAATGTTACATTATACACCAGCCGCTTCCACAGACTGAAGGATTTTGACTGTTGTAGGTCGCGTCATGTTGGGACCATGGCTATCAAACAACTGCTTATGGCTAGTCCCGCACTCTTCTAGTCGACGACAACACTCATATGGCAACTGTTGGCACAACCATGTCTTCCCCTGAGAAGCAAGCCTGGGAGATCTTCCATTCACTGGATGTGAAGTATGTCTTTGGAGGTGTCCTTCCTTCCAGCCTCAATCTTCTAAAGACAGCATTTATCTTGAATCCTTTTGAATCAGCTTTCCTAAAGTAAAATTATGATTGTTACAGGTCTTTTTGGCTACCCTAGTGATGATATCAGTAAGTTCCTTTGGATGGTTCGGAATGGAGGCGGTGTGTTCCCTCACATCAAAGAAGCTGATTACCTGGTACTTTTCTTCAACTTGCACATTATGAAATGCCAAATTGTTGCTTGATAGTGTAGTAGCCATAATCGTATTTGTTCACTCCTCCCCTCAAATGCCTGAATCATAGTTGTATGGTGAGTATGGTGAGGTTTGATGTTGGTTAATTGTGAAATCAGGTATTCACCTCTCACCATTGGATGTTGGTTAATGAATGTTGGTCCAAACTTGGTGGTCCAGCCTACCCAACCTCCCCAAACTAACGGATACAATTCTCCGCTGCTTTGTTCTGTATTCTCTTTTCATTAATTAAAGTAAATTAATGTAAGTAAGTTTCATTTTTTGCCGGATCTGAAACAGGAAAACAGGGATCGATCAAACGATACAAAAGCCAACTTGATCGATCTCCCTTACCGGCGGTCGTTTTAATTCCCTTTGTATTTCTGGGTTTAGAGAGCAGGGGGTTTTGTGCTTTGTGACTGTTCTGTTCTTTGTCTCTCCTTCCCTCTTTGGTCTTGTGCAATTGTATGTTCTGTTTTCTGGGGAATGCTGTCATTTGCAGTGACTATCTACAAATTGTAATGTTTTTAACCTTCTGTTATTCTTCCCTTATAGTGAAAAAGAGGTGGTTGCTGCCTGCTGGTGGGTGTTCCTCCTTGGTTTGGTTTCCTTGAAATTTGAATCGTGCTTCGGAACGGCCTTCTTTCCCGTCCAACCTGGTGTGGATGGTTGAGAATTGATGTGAGTGCGCCTCAGAACAGGACACCAGATCCTGCAACTGATTGGAATGAGTAGTATACTGATATTCCAAAGTTACTACTTGAGCTTTGATATGTTATTCTGCTTCTGCGATGCGATTAGTAAACAAATTCAACCGACCTTACATCCGTGTAGCCGTCATGTGCCAACTTGCAATGCCCTTGGAGAATTAATCTAAGTCTCGGCGAAGATCGTCAATGGATTCGTGGAAGAAGAGAAGAAGCTATAAAAAAAATAGAGAGAGGAAAGAGAGGGAGAGAGAGATTGGGGGGAATTTCTGTTATAATCCTTGATAGTCGTAGGCTGTGAGAAATGCCGAATTTGGGGAAAGCTCCAGGTTCTTGGCCTAGTTACCACTCTGAACATATTGTTCTCTAATAGCGTGGAACACAAAATAGTTTCAAAACTTACAGCTTTATATGTTCCATGTTATGCTTAGTAGACATTCACTTATTGCAACAACTACTACTCTTCGTTGTTGTATTGATTTTGGAGGTTGAACTCTTGTTGTTGCTTGAATTCAGTTGCAGTTACATAGTAATGAAGTAATCTCATTAATCCAGCTTCTGAATTGGCTGTCAATACCTGTTAAATTCAACAAACTCTATTCAGTTTGGCAAAAGAACAACAATAAACTTCAGTTAAACTTGCAGTGAATTGAATTAGCATCAGCAGCTGCAAGTGGAGTGGAAATTCTCCTGTTAAAACTTTACATGTAGCAAAGACAGTAGCTGGATGCTCCTTCGTTTTAGTATTGTGCTGCTATTGACATCAATATGTAAATGAAATTCGCCCCAGAATGCTAGATTTTTCCAACAGGGCTATCTCTCAATGCCATAGTATTGTTTTTAATATTTTCAGATCATGGTTAATCCATAGCCTGTGCTTTCTCAATGGATGAACATCAACAGTACAGAATGTATGATCCTAGAAGTTCTCCCCTTCTCCCTACGGAATTCTTCTATATATAAAAGCTACTGTATCACTTTCTGTCGTTTAGTGGGTTTCCCCTTGGCAAATGAACTTCCCCACCCACCTCTTCCTCTCACCGACAAGGTCTCCCCCAATTGCAGCAAACGTGCTTCCCGTCCGTACACTTTCTGGCGCAGACTTCGCCTCTCTGCAGGCAGCCGTATGCGCACTGCCTTTCCCACCTCACCGCCTTTCCATTTGCTTGCTCTCACACGGCACCCTTACTGAAACCTCTTCCAAACACGCCAGCAGCCTGAATCGTACCGTACTTGCTATGTGGACCTTGATTAGGGTCCTCCCAACCCTTGAAGCCGGATTGCTTGGTTTCATGGTCTTCTCTCACCTCGGTTTGTGTCCTATTTCGTTTTCGCGTTCTCTCCCTTCCTCTCTCACCTTCGTCCAGTTCTCGGCTTCCGTCGTCTCTTTGCAATCTACGCTCCTCTGCTTTCAGTGCCCTCATGAATAATACCTTCCAAGCTCAGAGGAGAGAGGAATAATGGCTGGAGAGGAGGGACCTTACCTAAGAGGAAGAGGCGGACGGACCCACCGGTGGCTGGTGAAGAGGGCGATGAGTGGATGTCTCTTCGTTGTTTCTGTCTTTTTAGTCGTAGATTTGAGATAAGTCATGTCCCAAGTTCGGATCTTTGTAGGAGCTGACATTGTGAGTTGTGATTTTAGAAATTTTGTTTTTGGTGGTTTCCTTAGAGGGACATGGATTGGCCAACGAAATGCTCGGCTCCATGAATGTTGACTGTAGCCCAGGAAGGGAAGCAGATTTTGTGAGTTTGGCGGTTGGAAAGTTGGATTGGTATCCAGGCAAAAGGGAAGAAGAACCTATCCAGTTGGCCAAATGGAAGCAACTCCTTCAGTCCTAGCAGCCTATGTAGGGGAGACTTCGGTTTAGAAGGCGATGCCATTGTTTCCGACAGACAGTAGACTCGACTAGAATTTAACACCAGCAGTTTGATTCATTCTGAGGGCAATCCAGAATATATGGTACCTTCAAGCTAAAGAAAAAGCAACATTTCAGTTCAAGAGGTGTTCATTTGTCAGAAGTATGCTTTTTAGTAGAAGCCTGTTACTTTTATGTTTTCTACTCACTAATTCTCAACTCTCGCAGGTCAATTGAGAGAACAAAATACTACTGGTCAGTGGGCTCCAAAAACTCTTCTAATAGCATGATAGGTTAGTTCAGTTCACGAGTATGGATCAAGAGCTTCTCCACAGGCAAGTGACATTGAGAACCTGCTATTGTTGCTCATCATCAATGGTCATCATGATTGCGTAACTGATAGACAAGTTTCTGAATAGGCCGATTAGCAAGCTCAGTCCTACAGTCACTCATGTTGCTGACTGCTTATTACTTTACTAGAATGAAAGAGTGAAACAGATATGAAAATTGGATACAAAAATGTCTGCAATGAAAGAATGAAACAACTGTGTATGTTCTATGCTAATTTCTTATAACTATATAGCTTTCTGTGTATCAATCAATGAACCTATCCTTGCATTCAGTGTGTTTTGTTTTTTCATATCTCTTGGTGGTTCAACGAGGTTTGGCATACTCCATTATTACTTGACCTCTTTGTTATTGGGGAAGGCTTAAGTACTGACTTATTTGTATTCATTGCATTCAGGATTAGGTGGTTGTTGGAAGGAGTGCCTCAATCTCATTGGGGATTTGGTGGTTCTGAATGAGAGGATCTTCGCAATGGATTTCTAAAATTAAATGTAATAAACTCATTTGGTTTCTATATGTTCTCAATTGTGGTTGTATCTTTGAGTGAACTTTAATTTGGTGTTATCCTTCCATTTCTGCTGCAAGGGTGTTGGCGCTTTGTTCCATAAGCGGGAGATGACTGACAGAAAGGTTCTAAGAATTGATGATCAACCAAATATGAACTAAAAAAATGGGGCAGAAATTGAAAGCAGCAAGTGTAGGTGCTGCAGACCTTGCTGTTTTCCTTTTACTAACTCAAAATTTTTAACTTGGGTGTAGAAGGTTCTTAGACCTGATCGCTAAGGTGCTTGCAGTCTTTGATTTATCGTGAGTATTTCAAGATGCTGCTTATACATTGTTTGTTAATTTCTTGGTTTAGGTTTCTTACAGTAGCTGCAAGATTTAGAAGAGGACAATCATGAGAGGTAATCAACATAACAACATCCTTTCCAATTATGTTCAAATTTCGGATGACTCAAATTTCAAATGATTTGTTAGTAACCGTTAGAGTTTACATGTTATCTTTTGTTGATGCTTTAATTGTGTGAATGAATCTATGTCTGCCAAGCTTTTGTCATTGTTCCAATTCAAGTGGATCAAGACTGCCAGATTAGCCGTTAATGGTTGTACATGTGTTCTCTGCAAATAAGCTGTTTTATTCGTTTATGTGGATGAACAGTTCATGTATGCCTTATGTTTTGCAGTTTTTGATTTCCTCTTGGCAAGTTTGGTTTTTATGTAGCTTGCAAGGCATTTCCAATTGCATACTGTCAATCGTAAGGTGCAAAGCTTTCGGTGGGAAAAAAATTGCTTTAACCAAATAAAAAAACCCCAGCGCTTTGGTTACCAGTATTAGTTTTTTGTCAACTCAATACTTAGACATAATTGGGTTTCGCTTAAATGTAAACATGCTCATTTTGTAAGCGAACAACTGCCTTTGCAGTGGCTATAGGAGTGTCAATTTGCCGACTGAAATTTGCAGGCTCTTACTAGCTCACAGTGGCTGAAATTGCAGGCTGCAGCTGCAGCGAAAGAATGAACTCTATGTCTGGTCATGGCTCCTCTAGCTGGGGAAACTAGGGTGATTAGGTTTTTGGGCCAGCTGCTGCTGGGAATGCTGCATCTGGGAGTGGAGACTCACCAAGGTTGCTCAATTACTCACCTGCGAAGGTTCCCTATCCACCCTTTTGCTTCAGACTTTTATCCTGTTGCATCGAACTTCATATTCTTTAATACAGTTGCTTAGTTTAATGAATAGGGTATAAGAATTATGGACCAAATATCAAACACTTCGTCACCATCCTCATCGAATTTTTTTCTCTGTTGTCATTGCGATGTTTGGAATAAAGGAGTTTGGCTGACAATTCTCAAGGAAGGACCTTCCCAACAAGAAGTGACTTCTAAAACAGCTAAATCAAAGTTCCAGAAGTCTACTCCGTGAAGACCATCCCAAACACGGAACAACAGCAGACAACACTAGATGACCGACATAAGAAAGGAATAGATTTCTCTCTTTCCCTTCCGAGATTTCCCTACTGGCTTCCCAGAATCCCATTGTAACATTATGCCAGTCACAGTTTACAATTTTTTCTATTTGAGTTGAACCACAGGAAAGCGTATTTAATTATTAATTTATCATTATACTGCATAGCTCACACCTTCGATATCTTGAAAGATTATAGCCTTTCTGTAGCGTATGAGTTGTAATTCATAGAATTTGCACATTCTTTTCTAATTCTTCTCCCAATATCAGCCTTTCTTATGTTTGATTATCTCATCATATTAGTTGTTTTCATAGTAACCTACGTGAGTAGATGCTGCCTTCTACCGAATTTGATTAGCTGTTAAGCAACTTCACGGTATAAATGGCGGCCAGGGCAAGTTTGTAGCGGTTCGAAATTCTTTTCCGACCCTAGGAGGTACTCTTACTATGAGGTAGTGGTGATGACGGACCAATTCAGACTCACAATAGGCCTGCAGTATAAATTCACTGAGGTCCATTTAATCAATTGTTCTTCAGCAGCCTGCTGGTACTGTCTTCAGCTTCTTTTAGTTTGACCGAAAAGAACCAAAAGAAAATAAGCATGCTCCTGATAATGATTGTCAGTACCCTTTGTTAATGTTGGTACTGTGTTCGTACTTCTGTATTGTTACAGTCGCCTGTCGTCCAAAACAGATGGTTGCCTAGAGAAGTTTCAACTTATTCAGGCCTTTAAGAAGCTAATACGGTTTCAAATCCATATTTTTATTTGTTTGTATAAGTAACAAGTAGAGTTAGGCTGGATGAAGCGTCATGATTGTCACCCCAGTACTTGAGCAGGTTGTTTATCCACAAACTCAATTTGTACCTTCTTACTCATGCTTAGGTCGTGCTTTTCTCTTTGATCTTCTTCCATGCGTTTTAAGTAATTCAATTAGCCACTAACCTTATACTCTATTTTAGTTCCCGCGGCGTAGCCGTGGGTATTGATTCTAGTCAATCAATAGAAAACAAGTAAGTAACTAAACAAGAAATTTTGTGACTTTCACTTCAGTAAGCATTGAACTAGCAACCAACAGATTCAAACATTTCCAGGAAAACAATCCCTCCAACAAGTTAATACCTTTTTAACAAACATATTAAAAGATACATTCTTGTAACTTGCAAGTAGAATTAACGCACAATCAATGAACAATAAAATTCTAATTTGATAAAACAGAGCCCCCAAGCTGAAACACACGATGCTGCCACGTTACAATGTTGGAACCGATTGGAGAAAGAAGCCATCGCAAGCCTACCTGCATCACAATCATATATAGAACAACCCTACCAAAAACAAAAGAGAACCCTTCATGTGAACTGAACCCCACGCCT